AAAAATTTTAAGAGAGGAGAGAGAATTTTTTTAACATTTTCCCTCCCCTCCTCTCGTAAGCCTCCCCTCCAAAATTGGGGGAATTTTAGGGGGCGTGATAATATTTTGATTTGTATTGATTAATATGCCTATATTATTTTCTAATGATCCCATACTACCCTTCATTGCCGAATTGTATGTGATTTGATATATTGTCGATTCAATCATATCTCTCTTCCCTCATTTATATGCTATCAAATGTTAAGGAAGAAAAGTTGCTATAAAATATATTTTAATTTCCAAATGCAAATCAAGCATTCAAAACAAAAACATACAAATAAGTCATCTATGTCGTCTTTGAAAAAGTTATTTAACTACTCGTATCAACAATACAGAGAAAAATGAAAGCTGGAAAAAACATACTCAAATTAAATATGTTTACTTTATTAGACCAGATTTTGGATATAAATACAATTATAGTTATTGGATATATAGTAGCTATTAATTATGTATTATCATTATATTTATTTAATTTTTCCAATTATAAAAAGTTGATCCAATATATTAAATGCTATTTATAATTATATTTTATTAATTACTCTATAAAGTTTGTAAAAATCAACTTAAATAATATAAGGGCAAAGTTGTTCATACAAAAATATTTTGCCTCTTCTCCCTTCTTAGACCAAACAAGGTAACATTAAAATTCTTCTCCTTTCCTCCCCTCCCCTCGTATTAGTCCAAACAAGATAATATTAAAATCTCTCTATTTCCTTTCATCTCCTTTTTCTTCCATTAAAATCCCTCTCTTCCCATTCCCTCTATTGAGCCAAACACACCCTTAATCTCCGTATCAACTAATTGCTCTAAGAATTACTATTTATTAAATGTATTCATCTTTATATTTAATCTCAATAATTTAAATTTTAATTTCTCACTGACATAAAAAAGAATTTTCATCAGTATAATTCTATTTTATACGCCTAGGTCTATAATTCAATATTTTGTAGGGAAGAAGACATAAAAATACCTTCAAAATTATAAAATCCCAAATTAGTGCTTCAAATTTCACGCCTACATACTAATTTGGAATTTCAAAATGTTATCAATATACTCATGTGCCTTTCTTTTCATTTTCTCCTCTCCTCCCCTTCACGTTCCTTAAAAAGTACAAAAACCAAGTATGACTATGAGCATGAGGGAGGATAGTGAGTGATCGACAGTAAAGGTGACGGTTGACAGAGACGGTGATGGTAGATAGCGCTATGCTCTTTGACCTGGTTTTGCGACGGCAATGATGTGGTTGTTGTTCATCTTCTTCAGTATGATTCCTTCTGAGAGGTGATGGCTCTTTGTCCTGGTTCTGCAACGGCGACGACTACTCTGGTGAGAATGATGCTGGTGATTCATCAATCTCTTACCATCATTAAAGGCTGGTTTTTCCTTTACAATTTTTACCTTTGTCCTCTTTGATTTCTCATCTTCTCCATTTCAAATCAGGTGCTTCGTCTTATTCGCTTTGTCTTCTCCATTTTAGATCTGGGTTGAAGACAATTTTATTTAAGCTAGGATTGATTTTAAATTATCTTCATGATTTGGATTCTAGAATTTATTCATGGTGGAAGTCCAATTTTGGAGGTGAGACAATGGAGAAGACGATGAATTAAAGAGGAAGATGATGATCAATGATTTTTTTTTTATTGCTAATAGAATCTGATGCCATGTGATTTCCCTCATCTTTTATTGCCAAGAGCTTTGAGTTTGGAAGGATCAACCAACAGAAGGAAGCCGCTTATGAGGTGGGTTTGCTAACAAGATCCATCGAGTTCAACATTCACTATTTTGTAGAGGCACGAACAATGTCCTGTTTGCTAAATCTTTGGTCAATTCTTTGTGATTTTTTGAGATTCATATGGTTTCCTATGGCTGATTTTTTCTTGATGTTGCTTTTTAGCCACGGGTAGGCATTCACCATTTCTCAAGTGCCCCAAATGCAAGGAACCATTGGTATTGTTAATGTTTAATCTAATATAGGGAATTTTGTTGCTATCATGAAAAGTCTAGTTTGTAATCATTGACTAAAGTAAAGTGGTTAATAGCTATACTATTGTTATTTCTAATAATATGTTATATTTAATCTATTTGTGTAATATATTATATTTTTAAAGTTACTATTTTATCAAACCTTTTGACAACTATGTAGTATCTAGTAACTACTTGTATTTGAAAAATACTACTTGAATTCTGTAATATTTATTGGTTAACAATGACTTTATATGTGTTCACTACAAGTAATGTGAGAAATTTATAACAAGGTACACAAATTACTATCACATGAATATATTAACAACTCTTTCAAATAAATTAATAACATTTTTATGTATGGACAAGAAATAATTAGGAAAATTCATTACAACTATTTTATGAGTATTGACAACTCTTTCAAATAGAATGACAATACTTTTATATATATTGAGAATAAGTAATCAAGAAATTTTATTACAACTTTGTTGGGTGTGTGAGAACTTTTTCAAATATATTAACAATACTTTTATACATATTGACAACAGGCAAGCAAAGAAATTTATTACTGGACAAACCAATCAGCAAACTCAAACAAATAACATGCTGCCAACTGGTGAGGGCCATTGACAACTCTTCTAAATAGATTAACAACAATTTTATATATATTGACAACAAGTAATCAACAAAATTTATTACAGGGCAAATCAATTAGGAAACTTAGGCAAATCACATGTGTTTCCCCTTGTTAGGTGCATTGACAACTCTTTCATATCGATTGACAAGATTTTTGTATAAATGAACTATTCTAACTTACTTTCTGCATTATCTTTCCTTTTGTCAATTTATTAAGGGCAAGTTTGTCTTCTGTCAATATTTAAAAATGCCAAATTAGTACTCCTATTCTGACATGACTTTTTGCATTTCACTAGCACTAATAATAGGAGATTTTGTATATTTAAAGGTATTTTGTTGTCTTTTTCTCTATTTTGCACCATATGTATATTTTCTTATTTCATTTTTTTATATTTGTTTATTTAATACATTTAATCAAACAGAATTTATCTTGCAGTAGATATACTACTTATTTGGGACATTTTCCTATAATTTTTTATTTATGAAAATTTGTAAATTATTATTTAAAAATTGAATATTGCTATTATCTATAATTATTTATTTAAATTTTAAAATTACAATTGAAAATAAAAAAATTATTAAATAATTATATTTTCAAATGATCATTATTTTTACCTTCATTACGGTTATATTTTAATTTTTTTGCCAACTACCTTAATTAATTTATTATACCTAAGGGTTCTAACTTTAAAATGAATACTATAAAATCATAATAATAGATATATTTAAATATTATATTTTTTAATTTTAAACATTTATTTTTGTAATTCTGAATAATTCTGACTTATGACAAGCTCGATAAAATATTTTAGAAAAAGCATATTTCAAGAGTAATTTTTGTGCTTTTATTTCTCTCCTATATTCTGTATTCTAAACAAAGAAAAAATAGTTTGTTAAACGACTTTAAAGTATATTACTATGCCAGTTGTTAGTGCCTAACTACCTGCCCTTTTAATCATTATCATGATAAATTAAAAATCAACCATCTCAAGAAAAACAACTTAAAAGTATATAATCGTGCCAATTGCTTTATAACCTAGTAGCATATAATTTCCTGTAAACAAGAAATTGCAAGTTTAACCCTGTTAATCTCAAACGGGAGGGAAAATCTAATAGTAAACTAATAAACAATTATCATTGCATCATCGGACACGTCCTTAACAAATTTAAAACTGTTGTCCAATGTTTGATACGCAGAGAATTGTTTTCTAGCCCCATAAAAAAAAAAGAAAAAGTAGAGAAATTGACTTGTCTCTTTTTCTTTTTTTTTCCTAGGTGCATTTCCCGTTTCTTTTTTCAAATACACTTTTCAACATACCAAACATTACATTAAGAATTAATGCTAACAGACGATACGAAATTATTCTCAATAGTATCCATACTCAATAAACCAGACAGTTAGGGATTAAATTTTGTGCTCTAGGTAGCAATATAATAACCCAAAAAATTAAAATAAAATAAAACGCACAAACAATATATTTACCAGGTTCTAGATGTAGGAGCTAGATAACAAATTTGTAGATATTAAATAAATCAATTAAGTTAGTTATTTATAAAAAATATATATCAGTTTGCTAAAATATCCCTTTAATTATTTGCATTAAAGACTATCCCAATGGAAACCTCTTAATAAGTGAAATTGATAGGGATTATTTGGAAAATAAATTTTAAGTTTGAGAAACAAAATGAATTAAAACATTACATTTAGAACAAAAATAAACCCTTCAACTTCAAGGTTGCTATTTAGGTCTGGAGAAGTAGTGTAACATTATCTTTGAATTTGGGTATTGTCGTTGAACTTTCTTTAGGTGTAACATTAAATGCCAACAATTTTAGCTGTATCAATATGTTATAACCACATTGCTAATCAGCACAGCGAATGAACATGGTAATGGTAAATTATGAGAATAAAATTCGCCGCATAATTAATTTAAAATTTTAAAATTTTGTTAGTTCATAAACTTGATAAAAGCTATCCATGTCCAGGGTTAAAAAAAAAATAAAATAACAAAGCCATTCATGAAAATTCATTTGCGATAAAATATATATATATATATGTATGTATCCCTGATCAGTGAACAATTTTAATATTATTTCATGCATGATAAATATGCGGGAAAAAATATAAATGTGGAAAACAAAATGAATTAAAATCTTAAATTCAAGATCAAAATAATTTTCCCATCTAGCTCTTATATTTAAGACATGAAAAAGTAATTTGTAATCTTAAGTATATTTCAGCTGTAGGGAATTTGTTGACCTTGCTTCTTGTTCATAAACACCGCATATTTTAGGAGGCCTGCCAACAACTATGTGCGAGCATGAATATCACTGTGAAATACCTCGTCATGCCTGGAAACAACTAATGCAATATAATTTTAATGATCTTGTACTTATTTTCCAACATATATAGCACAATACACGCACTCATGATAAGTGTCCAAGACAAATTGTCATAAATCGCGAGTTCAGAACATTGCAGCACTTACAAGTAGCGCCATGTAAACTTGACTCGCATAAAAATTTAAGAAAAATCATAACAATTGACAATATATTTTTTTTGGAATACAATTGACAATATAATCTTAACCAAGATGCTTTACAACCGGCTGGTGATCTTCTTATTAGACAAGCTTCCCATGGCCTTAGCTTTCTTCTTTAGAACATATTTCTGCGTCTTACCAGTTGATGTCTTGGGCAAATCTTGAAAAACCACAGTTTTTGGAGCCATGTAACGAGGCAAACGTTTCTGACAAAACTCTATAATTTCTTGCTCTGTAGCACTGAACCCTTCCTTCAGCTTCACAAAAGCACATGGTGTCTCTCCCCAGTAGTCATCAGGCCTACCTACAACAGCAGCATCAAAAACTGCGGGATGACTGAAAATTATACCTTCTAATTCTATTGAGCTTATGTTTTCTCCTCCTGAGATTATTATATCCTTCGATCGATCCTTGAGTTCAATGTACCCATCAGGATGTTTCACTCCCAAGTCACCACTTCTAAACCATCCACATTTAAACGCCTCTTGGGTAGCTTCCAGATTCTTTAGATATCCATTCATCACAGTGTTACCTCTGAACATTACCTCTCCCATGGTTTTTGCATCAGCAGGTACGCTCTTCATTGTCACAGGATCTTTCACATCACACTCATCAAGACCTAAATGGTATACTCCTTGGCGTGCTTTGAGTTTAGCTCGTGTGTCTCTAGGAAGGGTGTCCCATTCTGATTTCCAAGTGCAAACCGTTGCCGGACCATAAGTTTCCGTCAAACCATACGAATGTGTCACACTGAATCCCAGTTCTTCCATCTTGAACAGAACCTCCGGTGGCGGTGGAGCACCCCCAGTCATCACTGCTACCTTCCCAGGAAGTGGTTTTCGAACATCTAGAGGTGAATTTATTATCATATTTAAAACCGTTGGAGCACCACCAGTGTGTGTAACTTTGTGGCGGTAGATATTGTCAAATATTGATTTGGCAGTTACATTTCGTTGGCAGACATTTGTACCACCCTGAGCAGCAATTCCCCATGGGAGACACCATCCATTGCAATGGAACATGGGGACGCACCATAAATACACCGGCATAAACCTCATGTCATTGAGAAGAACTGTGGCCAGAGCATTGAGATAGGCACCTCTATGACTGAAGATTACACCTTTGGGGCTTGATGTAGTTCCAGAAGTGTAATTGAGTGAGATCGGATCAGTTTCATCCTTTGGTTTTCTAACTTCAAAATCAATATTTCCTCTAGCTAGGAGCTGCTCATATTTCAATATTCCAGAAGAGGATGTGTTGTTGTTACTAATACCACATTCTGGAATCAAGACCAAAAGGGGAATCTTGGATGTTCTTTTGGAGAGGAGATCAAGTGCTCCTTGAGCAATATCTACCAGTTGATAGTCTACAAAAAAAATTTTAGCCTCTGAATGTTTCAATAACACTGAAATCATTGGAGAATCTTGGCGGGTGTTCAGAGTGCAGAGAACAGCCCCTGACATTGGAACACCAAAATGAAGTTCATACATGGCTGGAGTATTTGGGGCAAGTACTGCAACCTGATTAATTAAAATGGTCATTCCCAGCAAACGAAGTAAACAACAATGGTTGTCATTAGGAGACTGATTAAGTTCAAGGACAACCAAACCAGATCAAGAAGAAAGAGGGGAAAAATTGTATACCAATGCACAGGAAACATTTATTGTACGAATGACCACGTACATTAATATTTTCATTAAGAGATTCCCAGTTAAATTTAAGATCCAGATAAAGCAAGGTTTAAAACTATGTCACATGGCTTCCACTGGAAAATCCAATTACACTAAGTGCAATGTACATAGATTGTAATAGAAATTAAGTGCACGTTCCACAGGAGCACCAGGAAAGAAACTCCAATACATGGAGCTGAATGAGAGAAATTTCTGAGGATCTAACTAATCTAACATACCGGTAGTATCATTACAGAGAGACAATGAAATTGTGAACATGGGTTGCTCTTAATATTATATTAGTCTCCTTTCCGCTTTCTGTTCTTCCTGTGTAAAATGATAATCAACGCCCAAGAGTAGCATAAATGATAAGCAGAAGCAAAGAACAGTCGTAACCAAAGGTTTAATTCTCACAATTGCACTTCAGAAGAGTTTAATGAGAAATTGATCAGAGTCAGAAATCCAGAACCTTCTAATTACAGACTACAGAAACCCAGAAAAGAAACGGGATCAAAGCAAAAGAGATTTTCAAACCAATTCGAAGCGATGCTAGTTACAGTCAGTGGAACAGCCTAAGCCTTTAAATTACAGACTACAAGTACCCTCTGAAGTAAGCTTTTAAAATCTAACATTGTCAATAGGAAAGATCATAATCAAAATAACTTGGCCACTGGCCAGGCAACTCAAGTTCGGATGGTAATATCACATATGATATATCAGTTAATATCGAAACTGACCACGTCGCCGCTAGAAACTCCGAGGTGGGCAATAGCAGAAGCAAGTTTGGTGCATCGTTGAAGGGTCTGTTTCCAAGTGTACCTGACATCACCATACACCACAGAAAGATTGTCCCTGTAGACTATGGCGGATCGCTCCAAGAAACTGATCGGACTGAGAGGGACGTAGTTGGCCAAAGACCTGATTGTACCCTCCATAGCCACGGATCAAACTCACCAACTTCTACTTCCCGCGAGTGTGAGAAATTTTTGGGCAGAGATCCTTACTGTTGAAAGCGATTTATACTTGAATATCTGGAATATCTGGAGATGGATAAAGATTAGACAGAGTAACACGTCACTGGGATAGAATATCTAAGAGATGGATGTGCCCAAACAATATCTAAGAGATGTAGTCCGCATCACCTGCTTGCAAATAACATAACGTATGGATTAGTGAAAGAATCAAGGCCGTACAATTGTCCATATTTCAACACACTGAGGTCGACAAGTGGAACAGTTTCGTTCATCAGATTTTCCGGCATCTTCGAACCTGCAAAAGATTAACAGGAGGATGAAAGTAACAGAACAAAATGACAGGGGACGCAGAGGAATCCAAAAGAGTAACAGACAAAGAGGAAGAGGAAGAGAATCAGTGGTTCATCTTTAAACAAATCGTCTCAGGCTGAAGCAAAAATCCCTAACTCCCTGCTAAAATTTTTTTCATCATTGCAATTCTGTTTTATACGGCCAAAGGGCTATAGTTCGGTATTGAGAGAATTACTCTAGAGTCTCACAGAAAACATTTTATTACTCAAAAGTCCCATGAAATAGCAAAACAACTCTAAAGTCCCTAGAGACATAAGTGTGAATAATTTGAAACAATCAATTACGAATTTGCCCTGAATGACTAAACGAAAAAAAAAAATTCACCCATCTGTTTGAATCCCACCCTTCTCCTTTAGCCCTCATCTCCTACTCCGCCAACATCCTACAACATGACCTCTCCACTGTTCTTACCAAGAGTCACAGTCATCTTGGTCCACTCATGACAATTAAGGTCTTCCTCAAGAAACTGTTCTCAAGGCCATTTCAAGTTTTTTATTTTATTGTTTTTGCTTGCAATTATTTAATTTATCATATAGCAATTGATGCTCTGTTTCTGATGAAAATGGATGAAAATGACAGGTTTTTACTGTCATAACTCCTGTAATGCGGCAGTTAAATGTCTTGTTAATGGGTACATCGAAGGTTAATGTAACTGTATGACTTGTCATTAACAAGTGATTGTGACAGGTTGATATGAAGGATGACAATTTCAAGTGGGAAGCATTTATTCTGTTACCTCCATATAGGGAGATAATTTATCAATGGTGTAGAAAGTGAAATGCAATATGTTGCAAGTGGTGTGAGAACAAGAATGATAAAGGAAGGCACATCATATGAAGAATTTAGAACAATGGTGGAATCAAGTGTGGGGAAAAAAAATAATGGAATGGTTATGAAATTTACAGTAACCTTGATGAGTGTACATTTGTGGACCTTGTAAATAAAGTGTAAATTTGGTGTAGTTATATTATACATATATTTAAATTGGTAAATGACATCTAGTTATAATCTGATAAAATATCATATCTCCATTTTGCTATACTTATCAATAGGTTGTCATGGACTTGTTATCAAACGTTGTGGAGGTTGTTATTGACAGTCTAAATTAAGTTACTGATATAAAGTGATAATTTCTCATACTTGCCTTGTTTAATGATTTCTTAACATATGATTTTAGTGTTCAAGTTGTAATATGATATGATTTAGTTATAATTTAATTTTTGTAGAAGCTGTGATATCCTACAGAGTAAGTTGTCAGGGACATTATCAAGGTTGTTAATCACATCTCCTCGGGTTGTCAACAGCCGCCATTGAGGTTGTAAATGAATATCTGCAATAAAAATATGTTGTAATCCTATTGGGTTCACTTAAAGCTGTTAATGACTTCAAAATGCTTTCCATTATATTGTTAAGGTTGTTATATGTGCCAATAATACAATTTTTTAGAAGCTGTGGTATCCCCCATAATGAGTTGTCAGGGGCACTGCCAAGATTGTTAATCACATCCCTCGGGTTATCAACAGCCGTCGTCGAGGTTGTAAATAATCTCTACAATAAAAATCTGTTGTAATCCTATTGGTTCACTTAAAGCTGTTAATGACTTCAAAATGCTTCTCATTATATTGTTAAGATCGTTATATGTGCCGATAATACAATTTTTTGAGAAGCTGTGGTATCCCACATAGTGAGTTGTCAGGGGCACTGCTAAGGTTGTTAATCACATCTCCTCGGGTTGTCAATAGCTGCCGTTGAGGTTGTAAATGAATCTCTGCAATAAAATCTGTTGTAATCCTATTGGGTTCATTTAAAGCTATTAATGACTTTAAAATGCTTCCTATTATATTGTTAAAGTCATTATATGTGCTGATAATTCAATTTTTTTAGAAGTTGTGATATCCCACAGAGTGAGTTGTCAAGGGCATTGCCGAGGTTATTAACCACTTATCCTCAGGTTGTCAAAAGCCGCTGTTGAAGTTATAAATGGATCTAGCAGAGAGGACTATGATATATACCTATCATGTCATCATGGCTAACATTTATTTATCCGGTTTTATTAAGTCTTCATTTCTGAACATGATCCAGGTTTGAAATGAAGAATTTCGTGGTTATCAAAATATATGAATGCCATTAAAAAAAACTTCATAACTAGTAAACGATGTCAATACACATTAACATAAATTAACATTCAGCTGTCATTATATTGTCAAATAAAAAAAAACTCTAAACTTTACATTCAGCTGCCATTATGCTATCAGATAAAAAAACTAAATGTGTACTTTACATTCAGCTATCATTATACTGTCAAATTAAAAAACTAAATACAATATATGCTGGTTGTTTATTCCTTCCTCTTGCTTTGGGAGTTTTCTTGTAGTAAAGACATCACTTGATCATCATACAGGTTGTTTTGATGAGTTACAAGCCACCACAAGTATCTAACCTTCATGTCATGGATTTCTTGAGCAAAATACATAGGCATTGCGTAACTGTCATCACCATACTCACGTGTTAGATTGCACATGTACTTTTACCCATATGACTTTCTTGCCAATTTTGTCCTTTTTGTCAAATAGTGATTGTCACACTTACTATCGGATCCACTTAAGGTTTAATTAAAACCATTTTAGACTACCTTGGATGGTCTTGGGCTCAACATTCCATAAAAACGCTAATTTTTGGATTTTTACTGTTCATCGGGTAAAAATCCAGTTTTCTGGCTCAACTTCAAAAATTCATAATTTAATCTAGAAATATCAAAATGGAGTGGTTCAAAAATCTATAGAAAGCTCTTTGAATGATCTTTCAAAAAAAAAAAATCTTATGAACCAATTCCATTTGAAAAGGTATCGGATTTTTGTGAAAGTCACCTCTATCCATTTGGCAAAAATCCTTGTTCTAGATTTTGAACCTTAACTTTGAAAAGTCATTAAAAATCGTGTAGTTAGCCATTTTTAACGTACTATCTATTGATTTGAAGCTCATGATGTCAAATTTAAGCACATCAAATTTTATGTAGAAATTCGTTCGGTAACTTAATAAAACATGGCTCTAATTTGGCGTGCTGCTTAGGGATTACAACACCAACCATAGATACTTGTACATAACCAAATATATAAATATTTCCTCATGGTTCATCATCATATTTATCCTTAGATTTGTAGCCTCCCTTTTGATGATTCAATCCCTAAAATGTTAAGTTACATATGAGGGATGAGATTCCAATGAAATCCCAGTAGCAAGATCAATCAACCAAAACATTAATATGCATCAATTACAAGCATTCCAATCTTTTGCTATTAATAGGGAACTACTTTGCCTCATTCATGTAGCACTCTAACATGCAATAGCTAAGGCATATAAAGAAAGGAGTATAGCTACACAATCATCATCATCATTTAGTTCAACCACATAATAGCACATGAAGTTGCATAGCAGTCAATTCAACAATCAAGATTAAGGTCAATTAAATCTTACTACCTTGATCCAATGCTCTTTGATTTTCTTGTTCTTCTTTCTTGCTTCCACAAATGCCAAATCCTAACATGGTGATCGACAAAAAGGGCAGCAAGAATCATCAACCATTTCACATAAAAATCAACAACATAACTCAAGGACAACTTTTGTCCCTTAAAGCTTCCACCTTTGTTCTTTAAATTTTAGAGTTGGTTTCCATAAACCCTAAAAATTCCCTCTTAACTCATTCCTACATGATTTTTCATGTAGATTCCAATTATCTACTTGGATTTAACAAAATAAAATCCCTTCTTCTAGTTTCAGCTTGGCCGAACCAAAAGGGTGCATTATCCAAAAATTGCAACTTTGATGTTATGGCTTCCAACACTTGTTCTTTAGGTTTACCCTATACCATTTTTCATTTTGAATACAATGAAAGCCTCAAAACTTTGAAAAACACATCCTAGGGTCCAGTTCTTGCTTTGGCTGAAATGGTGCTCATGCAACATAATAAAGAAAACACTCCAAAATCAACCTACAGCCACTTGTAACCACTAGGATCTATCATGCTTTGAAGTGTTCTAACAAGATTGAACAATAAAACTTCCTCCCTTACTTATTATGCATTTCGGCCAGTACCAAAGAAGGAAGAAAACCAGAAATTTCAACCATACAACTTAAGGGAAACAAGCAAGGAACCCTTTGGAACCATAAACTAACCTTGATTCTCACTTGTATGCTTAAAGTTGATTCCTTTCTCCTTAGTTTCCCTTTGAAGTTCTTCCTTTTCCTCTCTAGCTCTCTCTTGGCCAAAACATATTCAGAAAAATGGGGGAGTAGGAGCTCATTAAGTGTACAAAATATCCCAACCACCAACATTTAATGCTATGCCATGTGTCAAATGCTTACTTAACCTTAATCCTCCCTCTTAATTAACTTAATGCCAAATGAAATTAATTTCAAAAGTCAAGATCCTCTCCATTGGTGGCTTGATACTTGGTAACTTTAAATCCTCTTTATTGGTGGCTTGACACATTGCCAAATGT